TGTAGTAACTGAAGGATTACAGCTGTATCATAAGTGAGGTACAAAATTGCATATACAGCTTATGGGGTCCTAGGAAACCATGAAAATTTTATTTCCTTTCATTCAACCCGTTCTGTTCTATCAGAAGATATTCTACCCATAAATGTGTAAAACCTACTGAATGGTAGACATTAGAAAAGTACAAAATCTTTATCGGAATAAACAACAACAAAAAGCTTAACAACTATCAAATTTGGAACAAAACAACCATCAGAAGTCATAAGCACACTTCAATGTGACTGCAGAATTACCTCCTTTATCAATTAACCAATCATGGTCTTTTTGAAAAAGACAAAATACAGCACAGATGTTAGCATATTATTAGAATTGCTCATGACTTCTGGAGACTGTATGCAACATTCAGAAAGATGAATAAAACAGACTAAGATGATAATGAGAATCAACAGCCTGTTCAAAAGGAAGCTCAGGGAGGTCAAGACAGCCAAGATGTCTTTGCCCAGCAAAGCAAAGACATGGAGAGAATTTGATTAACTCATCTCTATAAACACTTCTGACAGCTAACATTGTATGTAGAAAAAGAACTGTTAAAGCTCAAGGACAAAAGCGAGTCAAGAGCATAGCTTAAGTTGACCATGAATTGTCGGATCATATTGGTTGGAAGGGACCTCAGGGGGGTGATCTAGTCCAATTACCTGCTCCAAGCATATCCAGTTAGAGAAGGTTGCTCAGGACCTGTTGTGATTTAACCCGGCAGGCAGCTAAACACCACACAGCCGTTTGCTCACTCCCCTCTCCCTTCAGTGGGATGGGGGAGAGAACTGGGGAGAAAAAAAACCCAATTAAAATTCATGGGTTGAGATAAAGACAGTTTAATAGGACAGAAAAGGAAAAATAATAATGATAAAAGAATATACAAAATAAGTGATGCACAATGCAACTGCTCACCACCCACTGACCAACGCCCAGCCAGTTCCTGAGCTGTGGTCACTGCCCCCCAGCCAACTCCCCCCAGTTTATGTACTGAGCATGACGTCACATGGTATGGAATGTTTCTGTGGCCAGTTTGGCTGTGCCCCCTCCCAGCTTCT